AGAGGTATAACTTCTAGCTTCTTTACACTACTTCTTCCCTATCTTTACTTGTTGTTTTTACACTATTTTATCCTGTTTTTATGGGCTGAAACTTGTGGTTTAAAGCTATCAAAGGTAGAGGGGTTAACCACCCTTATTTGAACCTTATTTTCCAAGCTTTTGCCCTTGTGTTTCTCATCTATTTTTCAACTTTTTCCTATTGTTTTTCAGAGTTTTCCAGAGGCTAAAAAAGTGGTTTTGAGGTTCAAAAAGTGAAAGGGTTAGCCACCCCTCCTTAGGCTTGCTTACTAGTTTCATTTCTCCATTATTGTAGTTCACTTTTTCTAGCTTTTCCATGATAATTTGAGCACAGTTTTACTTGTTTTTAGGACTGCTTTAAGGTGTTTATTTCATTTATGCTTTGGATAGTATGCTTGTAGTGTTGTAGTCCTCATAGGTTTGGTGGCTTAGGCCTTAGACACCAACTTATTTGAGTTTATAGCCTTTATTTTCATAGCTTTCATACCTATGTTCACACTTTGCATAATCACCTCTGCAATCTCTTTCATTTCTTGGTTTTCTTTGTTTGAGAGTCGTTTCAAGTGACTGTTGTTTAAGCTTGAGAAAGAGACCCTTCCATGCTTAATGGTTTAATCTCTTCGGAGGTTCATTACCAAGGAATTACATCTCTTTCATGCTAAAAACAACTTCTTGTTTGACACTTCTCTCCGTTTAGTGGACTTAATTCTCATTTTTGGGCTAAAATAACTAAATAATGGAAAGGTAATTAAAATAGGCTAATCAAATGGGATTAAAAGAGGCAACAAAATAATAAAATCAAGTCAGGTTCAATCGAACGTTAATTGAACCCATTGAGTCTTGAGACATTTCATACTCTTAAGTGATAATAATGGCTCAAGATTCAAGGTCTACCACTTCTCTTGATCAATTCCATGATTGAGAGGATCAATTCCATAATAGGGAGGAAGTTTTGTTGGTCTTCTATTATCATTTATTGAAACTTTACCCCTCGAGTCATAGATCATCACGCATTAAGTTTGCATTGATTGATGATTAGCGAACCGAGTCTACCCCTTCTTTGATCAGTTTGATGATAAGGAGAGGTTGAGTGGACGAACATCCCTTGAAAATACTCTGTTTCATATCTATTACAGGAGGGCAATGGCAAAAACTAGTGGCCGGCTGGCCACCTCACAGTATGGCCGACCACTTTTCAAGGTCGGCCGGCCACCTCATTTTAGACCAGCAATGCCATTTTCATAGCAGAACTAAACAGAGGCTGGGGTAAAAACAGTTCAATTTTCTAACTGCAAAATAGAAATATTTTGGCAGCCAAACAGAGGGCATTTTTGGGTGGAAATTTGCATTGATGTATGAACGATTCTTTGTTCCTCGTGGTCCGTTAAATTATGCTAATAGTAGTATGTTGTACCCAATTTGGGGATGCTGCTGCGCAGTCCCCGCAACAGCATCTGTTGTCCGGCAAAATTGACCTATTTCGAGGCCTATTTTGATAATCCAAATCGTTCACATTTTAGAATACATCAAAGTAGAACATGCTTGCAAAAAATTAAGTTAATCGGATATCGTTTGCCCATTTATCTACTCACATTTGTATCTACAAAAATAAATAATAATTGTGATTTAAAGTATTAAAATGAATACAAGTGTGAATGGATGAATGGGTAAATGATATCCGATTAACTTGATTTTTTGTAAGCATGTTCTACTTGATGTATTCTACAATGTGAACGGTTTGGATTATCAAAATGGACCACAAAATGGGTCAATATTGCTGCACAACAGATGCTGCTGCACAGTAGCATCCCAATCCCTGTTGTACCTAGATTAATTAGGTCATTTGAACTTATAATAGCTTAGTTAATTAATTTCGTATTGTAATTAATTAATTAGATTCAATCAATTTGTAAATAATTTAGTGTAGCTAGTTACTTTGGCAGTTATTTTGGCGTTGTAATAGTCAGTTTAAATTAGGACATTTATTCGGACCCTCTTGCATGAGGGAAAAATTATAATATTATGTATGTCTTTCAACCCCATTTCTTTCTCTCTTTTATTTATCCGCTTATAAAGGTAGCATCATGTTTTATATTTTTCATATCATTATCATGCTTGCCATATCCATTTTTACATACATTTGGCTCGGCACATCTTTCTAACCTTGTGGTTGTTTAGATAGCGTTTGATAACGTTTACGTTTTTTTGTTTATGTTTACAAATTTTTTATAAACTGGCTTTTGTTCATTTTTAGAAAAACATAAACTACAAACGCGTTTGGTTTGAACAAAATATTTGAAAAATTTTAAAAACATAAAGTAAAAAATATGTTTGTTTAGTCCTAAAATATTTATATTTATATTTTATTATTTATGACAATGGGATCATACACATTATAATTGAAAAAAATTTAATTAAAAAAAATTATTTGAAAGAAGAATAATTGAAAAAAAATATATTTGAAAAATATTATTTAAAAAAATTAATTGAAAAAAAAATTGTTAGTCAAATTTTTAAATTTCTGTTTAAAAACCAACGTAAACTCATTTTTTTGAGTTTATGTTTATTTTTTTCTTAAATTTACAAACTGAAACAACCATTTATAAACAAAAAAAAAATTATCAAATAAGTTTTTATGATAGTTTTTAAAATTTTTGTGAATATAAATGGAAAACCGAAAACGAAATGGTTACCAAACATGCCTTTATTATCCAAAAAATGTGCTTAACTATATATTAAATAGATTCACATGTCATACTAGTAGCCGAGCCTCTTAATTGCATGTTGTCTATGTTGCATTAGTCATTTTATGTCGTTAGGATCATGCACTTTTTTCTAACTATTTTGCCTCTTTTGACTTACCTCGGTCGAGTACTAGATGAGCACTTTCGCTTTAGCATATTGCATTCGTGTGATTGTTGACATATCAAGCATAATTACCATGAGGCTAAGTGCTTAGTTAATACATCTATTTAAATGCCTGTGGATGAAGGCTAATTGCTTAAGTTTGGATGATTTGCTTAAGTGTACATATGAGATCACTTTTTCAAGTAGTACATATTCAAACAACTTTCAGAACACATATAAAATCAAGTGTTCCAACTTTTGTCAATTAGTCTATACTTGTGTGCATCACATAGTAAGAATAACCTAAATAATCGGAACAAGAGCATATACTAAACATAAGAACTACATCATGATTAGTAGAGGTCGATCTTTAATCAAGTGAGTGGGGTGCTCAATCCATGATCTTCCCTTCTCATACCTAAGTTTCCGAATTAAGACACTTTGGTGATGATAGACATGTGGCTGTTGGCACGAGTCACGAGTTTTCTAAATTTTTCAAAATATTTAGGTGGCAACTTTGAAATCTGACAATGCAGTTCATTTTTGGCATTTTTGATTCAAAATCAATTTTCTAAAAGAATTGTCAGATTTGGACTCATTTGTGTTTATCTATTTCACATTACACTTGTGAAATCAAATTCAGAATCATGGGAGTCCGAACTATAGAGCTATCGTATCCGAAAGGAGCAAAAAAAGCAAGCTACACAAGATTACTCAACAAGTGTGTAGAAAGGAGGGTTGAGTGGTATGTGTACAATGATTATGAGTGAGGGCTGTAATTGTAAATTTTAGTGTGTGAATTGAGAAAATTAATTAATAATCAAATTAATAAGTGTATATACTGAGAGAAGATGTGCACTAAGGTAGTTAAGTGTGTGGAAATAGAATATTTTCAAAATTCACTTTACGCCATTGTGATTTGAGCTTGGAGCACTTAACCCCCATATGGTTCAACTATAGCTAGATTGTCCTTTTGTGATTTTAGATTGATTTGCAACCTAACATCCGTTAATGTTAGCCATAAAAAGACATTTCTACCCTTACCCTTTTCTCTTTTGTTATACATGTAATTTTAACTTAAGCTAGATTGTCCTTTTGTGATTTTAGATTGATTTGCAACCTAACATCCGTTAATGTTAGCCATAAAAAGACATTTCTACCCTTACCCTTTTCTCTTTTGTTATACATGTAATTTTAACTTAAGCCACATATTTTAAAGAATTAAACTACCTATCTATAAATTCAAATTTTTATTTAATTAATCTAATTATATGTATATATATTTAATTATGTAACCTAATAAAACTACTAATTATGCACGTATACATACTAATTTTTTATTTAATTAATCTAATTATATGTATATGCGTATATATGTATATATTTAATTGTCTAAACTAATAAACTAGTACTAATTACAACAAAATTGGGATTTAAAGATGAAACAAATTTGTCCCAAAATGTACGTACTTCCTCAACCAAACTAATTACGACGAAAAGTTTTCGTCATCTGTTTTGTCGTCAAAGCATCGTCACTAAAAGGTGCTATAGATGAAAAAATAAATTCGTCATTGAAAATGATAAATTTGTGATGATTTTTTTTTGTCTCCAATACACTATGTTGGGAACATACTTGTAAGTAATTAGCGACAAAATATTTTGTCATTAAATGAAGAAATTAAAGACAAAAGTATTTTGTCATAAATATAAGAAATAGAGACGAAATAATTTTGCCGCGTTTAATATAAACGAAGGCGAAAAATTTTTGTCAAAGAAGCTACCAATAGAGACAAAAACAAATTCATCATTGAAAATGATGAAATAATGTCAAAAAAAATTTGTCATACATTGAGGGTAATAGTGACAAAATGTGACAATATTTTTCGTCATGACAAATTCATTTAGCGACGAAATAAAAAATTTGTGACAAAATTAATCCACCTAAGCCAAATAAGCGACAAAAAAAAAAAAAAACTTCTTTAGGGATGAAAAATTGTCACTAATTCCATAATATTTTTTTCCACGTTATATACCTATTTTATCAAAATCTGAATTTTAGTTCAACAAATATAACCATGTTCATGTTGAAACTTGTTTAATATAACAATCCCATCACAATTTAACTTAACCTGCTATAAATCAACACGATTACGAATTAACAAAATGAAAATATTCATTCATTACAAATAATTTCATCCTAATACAACAAAATAGTTCAATATCTACAAAATATCCAACAATTATGACTAATGCAATTCCACAAAACATCCAACAATAATTAGTGCAACTCTACAAAGTATGTGTGTCCTTATCAAACAAAAATGAACATTCAAGCAAATTAGATCATTGTTGCAAGTAAAAATGCCACCACGATCCAATCTGCAAAAAAATAAATTAAAAGCTTTAGTAACTAATCAATTATACAAAAGATTAAAAATCACTACAACAAAAAGCATTTTTGGCGACGTTTTTTAGCAACCAAATTGAATTTAGTTGCCAATTGTATGTTTTTGGCGACAATATACGTGTTCGTCGCCAAAAAATACACCATTAGCAACAAATATCTCAATTCGTCGCCAAAAATGGCTGGCGCCAATTAAATTTTTTGCGCGGGAGTGCTAAAAAAGTTTTGGCGACGAAAATGTTTGTCGCCAATTTTGACTTTTTGGCGACGGAATTAAAATAGTCGTTGAAAGGTGAATGCTATTTATGGCAACATAATAATTTTCGTCGCCAATAAATTTCTTGTCAAAATGACGTCGTTTTGAATCTGTCTTTTTTTTTTTTAATGACCGAATAAACAAGATTGACCTAAAATGAGTCTTCTTCGTCCTCTCATCGCAACCTGAAGCGGCACAACAGAAGACAAAGAGGTATGTCTTCTCTCCCTTTTCTTCGTCTCTCTTTCCGAGCTATCGTATCCGAAAGGAGCAAAATCTCACTCTCTCACACTGTCTCATCTTCCTCTCTTTCTTCTTTATCATCAATTTCATTCGGCATTGCAGAACACAACACAATCAATGGGATTGATTTTTCCCTCACACTCTCACACTCTCTCATCTTCCTCTTTTTCTTCTTTGTCATCAATCTAATTTTTCAGACTGATATTTTGATTTTTCGGACTGATATTGTGATTTTCGGACTAATATATTCTAATTTTTGGATTGATTTTGGAACTGATTTTCGGGACTGGTATATTCTGAATTTCGGACTTATTTTGTAACTGATTTTGTATTTTTTGGGGGACTGATATTATAATTTTGGGTATCGATCGCACAAATTTGCTGGCATGGAAAGGTGTGCTCAAATTTTTCGATATATCACCTTATAGATTTTGATTCTTGTGAAATCTGGTTTGAGTTTAATAGTTTGATCATTTGTTGAACCGATGTTTTGTGCTAGGCATTAAGCTTTGATTTTTGTGAATATTTTGAAATTTTGATGATTTCAGAGACATCAGAGTAATTATAGGTGATCTTGAGTAATTGTTTTTTGGTGTGCATTTTGTAAGTTGTTTTTTCACACCCACCACGTGTTTGTGTATTGGTTTGAAAGAGACAAAAAGTTGCAGTGGACTAGAATTTGTATGAGCAATTTCTTTGACTATGTGACTAATTAGAGTCATTTTCATTTTTTTTTTGTTTTTATATTTTCTGGGATGTGGATGTGAACTAGAATTTGAATTTTTGTACTGGATTCTCAGCTTTTTTGATCACTCCCTAATAATATATATATACTAATATACACATAACAAACAAGCCAATGCTATCTATATATGAAGCTTTTTTCTTCTCATTATATAAATAAGTTGGCTAGCCTTTATAATTTGTTGAAATGGCTAATTATTCACATCAAGTGTTCTCTATGAAAACATTTGTTACTACAAGTTGATGTAACTTTTGATTATCATAGAGCACTCTCATATTTTTTGGGGTTTCAAGTTTTACTCTTTTTCATAAAGATTCTTTAGATGATATTATTTTAGATATATAATAGTACATACTCATGATTCTTGAACTTTTTTCTTTTTCTCAGTTTCTTATCTAGTTTTGGATGAAGAATTTCTAAAAATAGAGTTTTGAAAAAACTTGAATTATGGGACCTTTTTATTGAGATGCACTATATTTATATACAAGAATTACATTTAATCATACATAATTTACTGAAATTCTATACATATTTAACACGTGATAAATAAGGAGTCAACTACAAGATTCTCATTCATGAGCTTCATCTTTGACTAGTTCTTCTCCTTGATTTCAGCACGTAAAATGTCTCAAAGCTTACTGCAAATTGCAGGGACAAAAAAAAAAAAAAAAAAAAAAAGAAGAAGAAGAAGAAGAAGAAGAAGAAGACATAAACACACACAAACAAACAAACTGTAGGTCTTTGTTGTTTCCTATCCACCAGCTAATACATAAAGTTAAAAGGATTTCTTTTGATACCACTATGTCTTAGTGCCTTGTATAGACATAAGTTGGAGATGTGGGCATCTACTCTTTGTGTTCAACATGTATGGTTTTAGTGCTTTCATATACTTTGGAAGCTGACAAGAACTTTGTTTCATGGATACTAGATACCTTAAAGTTATCTCCATCGTAATTTGCGAACTCTGCTGTTTTCTTCTTCAACATATTCATAAAAAAGTGCACTCACACTTTTAATCAAGTCCAATTACAATAACAAAATGGGAAATCCAAAGACCACAACCCCCAAATTTTCAGGCATGACATGTACATGCCAATAAATAATTCAAATAGAATATCTGTAACAAATGTCTTTATGACATGCACAAATAACTTAGGAGACCATTTAGGGGATTTGCCCACCTATGTTCCATGGTACCAGTATTAGTACATGCACAGCCACATAGGAATCTGGTACCAGTAAAAAGAGTATGATTCAACAAATGCATAGATGCAGAAAGGTATATGTATGTTTACTACTGTTTAACATTAACCTAATTAAAGCAAGAGGGGCATAATACATCATTAACTTACCCTCTTTAACAGTTTCCTTCTTTTTTTATTCATATATAAACCTCACTCTACACTAAACACCATCTTTAACTGCAGGCATAGGCTTAAACCAACAATTTCTCTGCATCACTTTTCACAAGATTGGAATTCAATAATAGCACAAAACACACAATGTCTATTTGATTAGATTTTTGAAGGAAACCTCCCACAAAAGAAAAAGAAATGAGTATGCTTTTTCATTTGGTCCTCAGGTCCCAAATAAGAAATTAATGTGCTTTCTTTTTGGTAATTATCACTCAAACTTAATCAACTGAACTCAATAAGCCTTGTCCCAATTACTAAGGTTGGCTCTATGGAATTGTTCCCTCCAAGTAGCTCTATTCTTGATTCCTCAACCTGGCTCCTCCTTAGCCTTCTTATATTTCTTTTAGCATCTACATTGTGAACCAAATTACTCCTCCTTACAAGCACTTTGTTCTTCATCGTAGATGGCCATTCTGAATGAATTCACCTCTTATTCTGGCTTTCTTTATAACAGGAATCACCCATCTTAACATTCTTGCTTCAATCACACCCCTTTTTTTTTTAATATATTGTTTCTAAACAGGCCAATGTTCTATAACATGCATTATAGCAGTCTAGCAGACATCATAACAGTCAAATTAAACTTAACCCTTCAATGTTATAGGTAGCTTATGATCTCGCAACCCTTTGAAGCACTCTTCCATTTCATCCATCCTCCTTAATGTACCATTCTTTATAAATAATAGATTCAAGATATTAAAAATTATCTTTTTTAGATACCTTCTGGCCATGAAGTTTTGCTTTATTTTCTTTGCTATTTTTAATTTTGCTAAAATTGCACCCTATATCTTCTTTTTTTCTTGTTGTTCTTAAATTGTCCACAATTCTACCTTTGAGTTCACTCATTTAGTTCCATCAATTCTAACTATATTGTCTGTAAACAACATAGCACAGGGGAGTATCATTTTAAACATTCATATGCAAAAAAATGAGGATTTAATATGGATCCTTGATGTAAGCCAACTATAATCGAAAATTCACTTGTTTCTTCCCCTCTTGTTTCCACACTAGTGACAACTCTACTGTATGTATCTTTGATTACAGCAGTATATCTAATGTATATAAAAGAAGAAGACCTTCATATGGTTGTTTATTGACTTGGAAAAGCAAATGATAAGTAAGTTCCATCAATCACCAAATTAGAAAATTAGTTTCCACATAAGATTTTCTTAGAAAACAACCAAATTTATTTTTTTGCTGTGTAGTCTGAAATTATGTGGCAAAATCTTGATAGTCAAATTGTGTGCATCTTTGTTAAAAAAAAAAAAAAACTGTGTGCATCTTGATTTAAAATTTTCCATAATTTTTAGTTTCTGAAAGATTTTTTAATGCCAAAGTTTGTTAAAACTTTGTACAAATTTCTAGTTTCTATGATTATTGTGTGATTGATGGACATGATTTGCTCTTGTTCCATGTGAGTAAACCATACAAAGGGGTCGATTCTGAGGCTTGGGTATACACGATCGATCATGTATGGCTTGATGACGATTATCAGGTAAAATTTCCTAATTTAGAGAATCATGTTGTAATTTCAATTTAATTTTACTAATCAATTAATTTTGCAGAACTTGGCTAAAAAAGCAAGGGATAGTCGAGCGAGGTTACCATATAATCATACAATGGGCTCCAAGTCATTTTGAGCTGCAATGTATAAACAGGTGATGCATTTATTATATCTAACATAATGATTGAAATTAATTATGTATGCTTACTTTTAAATGGAATTAGGGTACCGAGAAGACTGACTTTGTAGACTTCTACAAAGATTCCCATTAGAGCAAGAGAAAGTCGGATTGGGTAGCCCCAATATGTGGTCAATTACATGTAAGTATGCCAATTAATAGAGTTATATATTTATGTAAATGATGGTATTTGTTGAAGTTGTTTACAAATTGATAGGAAGCTTTGAAAAAGCGACATGAAGAGTCTTTAGAGCCTGGGGCAATACTTTTAACTCAGGAGCAGCTGTCAATCGAGATTCTTGGAAAGAAATCGGGATACTTAAAAGGCTTTGGAGTTGGTCCAAAACCATCATCATCCAGATCTTCTGTTACTGCACAAGCACATACTGAGGTGGTTTCGAGCCTACAAAAAGAACTAAAGTCATTGAAGAATTTGTCCAAGGTCCAGCAAGAACGAATTGCAGCCCAGAACTTGGTAGCACAAGAGCAAGCTAAAATGATTGAAATGCAAAACAAAGATTTGAAGAGATTGAGAAGTTTATGAGGAAGACCAATGATCAAGCAGGCATGCAGGTTGATGAAAATGATTATTCATCAGAGGAATCTTATTGACAAACACTTTTGTAAGTATATTTCATAATTTACTGTTCAAATCACTACAAGCATTTCATTTAATATGTCTGGTTGTGTTAAACAAACGGGACCTCGATTGGATCTCCGGTTAGAAAATTAGAAGAAAAATTGTAAAACACAAGACTTAAAAGGCCCGTTAGGGGGCCAAAATTGTGAAATGACCACCGAAACTTGGCACAGACATTTTGTTCAAGCCTAAATAGACTTGTAGGAAAAAACAGGACCTCTATTGGATCTCCGGTTAGAAAATTAGAAGGAAAATTGTAAAATATAAGACTTAGAAGGCCCGTTCGGGGGCTGAAATTGTGAAATGACCACCAAAACCACTGAAACTTGGCACAGACATCTTGTTCAAGCCTAAATAGACTTGTAGGAACAAACGGGATCTCGATTGGATCTCCGGTTAGAAAATTAGAAGGAAAATTATAGAATACAAGACTTAAAAGGCCCGTTCGGGGGCCGATATTGCGAAATGACCACTGAAACCACCAAAACTTGGCGTAGACAGCTTGTTCAAGCTTAAATAGACTTGTAGGAACAAACGTGACCTCGATTGGATCTCCGGTTAGAAAATTAGAAGGAAAATTGTAAAACACAAGACTTAAAAGGCCCGTTCGGGGGCTGAAATTGTGAAATGACCACCGGAACCACCAAAACTTGGCATGGACGGATTTTTCAAGCCTAAATAGACTTGTAGGAGCAAACGGGACCTCGATTGGATTTTCGGTTAAAAAATTAGAAGGAAAAATGTAAAACACAAGACTTAAAAGGCCCGTTCGGGGGCTGAAATTTTGAAATGACTACCGAAACCACTGAAACTTGGCACGGATAGCTTGTTCAAGCCTAAGTAGACTTGTAGGAACAAACGGAACCTCAATTGGATCTCCGGTTAGAAAATTAGAAGGAAAATTGTAAAACACAAGACTTAAAAGGCCCGTTCGGGGGCTGAAATTGCGAAATGACCACCGAAACCACTAAAACTTGGCATGAACAGCTTATTCAAGCCTAAATAGACTTGTAGGAACAAACGGGACATCGATTGGATTTTTGGTTAAAAAATTAGAAGGAAAAATGTAAAATACAAAACTTAAAAGGCCCGTTTGGGGGCCGAAATTTCAAAATGACCACCGAAACCACAAAACTTGGCACGGATAGCCTTTTCAAGCCTAAATAGACTTGTAGGAACAAACGGGACCTCTATTGGATCTCCGGTTAGAAAATTAGAAGGAAAATTGTAATACACAAAACTTAAAAGGCCCGTTCAGGAGCTGAAATTACGAAATGACAACCGCAACCACCAAAACTCAGCACGGACAGCTTGTTCAAACCTAAATAGACTTGGATTTCCGATTAGAAAATTAGAAGAAAAAATGTAAAACACAAGACTTAAAAGGCCCGTTCGGGGGCCAAAATTGCAAAATGACCACCGAAACCACCCAACTTGGCACAGATAGCCTTTTCAAGCCTAAATAAACTTGTAATTGTTTTTCTCTTATTGTATATGACACTTGATGTTCTAAAAGCATGATTTTTTGCTTTGGTAAAATATTTATTTATTTATTTTGAGTACCTCATCAATATTATTCCCAGAGATCTCCTTGTAGTGATTGAACACAGCCTTAAGATGGAGCTTGCTTCTTGTTGACAGTATCCTCACCACCTCGCCATCCGCGATTGGATTCTTCTTACCAGCATTTTTAATGGCAGTACAAAGTGTCTTGGCTTCAGATTTTGCTATCTCTTGATGAACTCTTGTACCTTCATAGCGATACGAACTAACAAGTGCCAAGAGCTGTTCAATAGAAGCCAAGAAAAAAAAATGAGAGTCTATTTTATGTCTAGATCTCATAGTTTTGACTTTGATCACTTTGTTTTTGGAAATATTTTGACATAGGATTTGGTAATGTATTTATGGGTTTGATGTTAGTAGTTTGTAAGTACTTTGATATGCATGTTTTAGATTGTCAGAGAATTGTAATTATGTTTATTGGGATTTTTCATAGCTATTAATTTTGAATTAGTATGAATGTCTTGCACAGGTGTATTATTATTTACATTACATTTGTGTATATATTTTGCACATGAAAACAGGTGTTTTGGATTATTTTGAACAGAAAAATTATTAAAATCAAAATTTATGTACTGAATTTTTAGTGACATGTGGTATTTTGGTCGCTGTTAATATATTTGGCGACAACATATTGTTTTTGTCACTAAAAGTTAGTGGTTATTCCAAGAACTTTTAGCAACCAAAACTTACTCGTCACTAAAAACGTGATTTTTAGCGACCAAATTAATTTTGTCGTTAAATAGTACTTTTGGCGACGCATTTATTTGTCGCTAAAACTACATAGCCTATTCAAATTTTAACCTTTTAGCAACAAATTGTAATTTTATAGCGACAAAATATATGATTTTTGGCGACCAATTTTGCTTGTCGCTAAATGTCTACATACGGTGACAATTTCTGATTTCATCGCCAATACGTTTAGTGACAGGCCTTTGGCGACAAGTTGTATATTTGTCACCGATTCTTTTGGCGAAGGAATTTGTACTTGTGGTGACAAATTTTTGGGTCGCCAAATGTGTTTTTTGTCGTAGTGAATATTAGTAACTAATTAATTCACAATTGATCAATTGTACAATTTATTCCTCTAACGGACTTTTTTCAAGATTATGGAAACAAAAAAATTAATTTTAAGGCTAATTCACAAATGATGTATCCCATTAATGTGTTTTAAGTTTATACAACTTATATTGGTCCCTTCCAAGGTGTTTCTGTTGGTTCCTATACAAATCCGTGGCTATGTGATAATTTAGCCTTACGACAGTCTTTTTTGAAGCTTCAAGTATGGAGGAAAAAGCATTTTTTAGGCTAATTGACAATTTATACATCCCGTACACGTGTCGTAAGTTTCTACAACTTATATTTGTCCCTTCCAAGGTGTTTATATCGGTTCCTGGACACATTTGCGACTGTTTAACAATTTAGCAATCTAAGGGGCATTTTTTAATCACAAGTACGAAAATAAACATTTTTTTGTATCTAATACACAAGCGGTGCATCCTGTGCGTGTGTCATAAGTTCCTACAAGTAACATTGGTCCTTGTTGAGGTATTTGAGCCAAATCATGAGAACTTTTGTGGCTGTTTGACGATTTGGCCTCCGATGGCCTTCTTTCAAGCCTAATTATTTAAAAATCGTTTTTCTAACCTAATTCACAAATGATGTATCCTGTGCATATTCCGTAAGTTTTTACAAGTTATATTATATTTGTTATTCTTGTGGTGTGTGTGCTGGTTCTGATGACATTCGTGACTATTTGAAAATTTTGCCCCTCATTGGCCATTTTTCAAGCCTAAGTATAGGAAAAAAGCATTTTTTAGGCTAATTCACAAATAGAGCATAGTGCCATAAGTTCCTACAAGTTAAATTGGCCCTTCCTAAGGTTTTTGTAATAGTTCTCATGTACATTCGTGGTTGTTTGACAATATACTCTTCCCATGGACTTTTTCTAATATTACAGAAAAAAGTGTTTTTTAGGCAAATTCACAAATAGTACATCCCATTCATGTGTCGTAGCTTCTTACAAGTTATATTGGTCCCTTCCAACGTGTTTGTGTTTATTCCCATGCACATTCGTAGTTATGTGATAATTTAGCTCTTCAACAGCCCTTTTTGATACGCATGTATTCATCATAAAATAAATAGGATTCCATAATGAAAAGGTTATTGATCTTGAGCCCTTATGAAAAGGTTACTGATCTTGAGCCCTTATGCCTAAATGGTGTGGAGGTTTTCTTTTCTTTTTTGTGGTTCAAAATCTTAGTCAGTTAAATTTCGTAAATAGAATTATGGATTGTTAGCTTGTAATCGTCAACCCCTATGGCTCTACTATGTGCATTACATTAATTTCATGTTCTAAGGTTGTGATGTCTCAAACAATCAGAGCCTAAATGCATATGTACTGCAGTCCTCCATAATTAGTGTGGGGATATGTTTTCTGAGTACCAACACGTGGTCAAGGTGATGTCGATGTATCAGCCGATGTGCCACGTACCTGGTCACGTTGCCGAGATGATCTCGGCTATGATTCATACCTCCGAAGATATCAGAATCCGAGATAAGCGGATGAGGGGCAAGAGTCCTAGAATAAGAGAAGACTTCAGTTTGTATTAAGATAAGACTCTTTGAGAGTTTATCCTAATCTTACTGAGAGTCCAAGATTAGCAGTAATTCTGAGTCCATAGAAGTTAGGCTTCTATTGGGACTAGGTTTATATTGGCTATAAAAGAGAGGCACCCCCATGGGTTTAAGATATGCTTTTGATACTCAAGCTTGTGAGTTTAGCACTTGATTTATCTTTGAGAGATATACTGACTTGATCGTCGGAGTGCCCCGGGTGGACGAACCACCGCCGGAATCTTCTCTTTCTGTTGCAGGTCAGCCAGGTGCCATCTATTCTGCCGGTGCTCTCCAGCTGGTTACTAAGCGGGTAGTGTGGTCAAAAAATCACTCACACAATTTGGCGCCGTCTGTGGGAAAGAAAAGAGAATAAATGGCCATCACTATACAAGATCAACGTATCGGAAACGACGAGTTTAGCAAAGATGGAGAATGTGTCGACATAAACGGAGTAAAGACCCTTCCAGAAGGGACGCAAAGACAGGGGGCATGAGTGCTCCTAAGGAGATGACATTCAAGTATAGAAGAGCTCAGCCCAAGTGAGCAGATCCCGGATTCCAGATCCTGGATCCCAGATCCCAAAA